CCAAGGGTTCGGTGAGCCTGAGGAGGGGCGGTGAAGGATTAAGGAAAAGACAGACAAAGAGAATATAGCTGGGGCTCTGTGCGTCTCCTGTGCCTGGATGAGGCCACAGAGAAGGATCCAGCCAGCAAGGGGAGGCTTTATTTTATAGTCAGAGGAAAACAAGGTAGTGGTCACCATAGTTACACTGTTCTTGTGAGTTTCACTTGTTTTGGCAGCACTTGCTGCACCTCCCACAGCCCATTTGCTACCCAGGAAGGATCTAGGGGGTGGCCATATGGTCAAGATTAATTATGCTAAGAGGGCTCTGCCCTCTAAGCTGGGACTTCTTTGTGGCTCTGCCACAGGTCAATCCGAGGCTTAACTCTAGAGCCGCTCCCTACAAGGACCAAGTTGGAACACATTTCACATCAAACCACCTAAAATTCTCCTCCGTTTTGCCAAGGTTATTCGGGTTGACTCTGGTTGCTCACACTGGTTGCTGGACCCACCCGAGGAGCTCAGGACACCCTGCAGGATTCGTTTCTCCGGAAGCAGAAGTACCAGCAGCTCAATAACGAGAGGGTTGCTCAAGTTCACGTTGTTTACAGAAGCCGCTGGGCTTGGCAGGCGTTCTGAGTTGTGTGGGTGCCTTTCTGTTAGAGAACCATCGCAAGAAGTTCTCTTCACCTGATGATTGAAAAGAACTCTGCGGGCCCCTCCTCCACAATGGCTTCCCGTCTCTCTCACTAAAATCCCACTTCCTCACCCTGGGCGATCTCTTCCCATGCCAGCCGCCCTCTCCCTTTTCACTCGGAAGCTGTCAGAAAGGCCAGCTGTCATGTGATGTCTCCACAGCCCACGGAGGCTGCTGGGCCCTCCCATGGGCTTTTGCTACTGATCACCCCCCCGCCCCCCCAGCGTCTGGGAAAGGGGGCTGTCCCCTTTGCTAGCCCTGCTTCCTGCTTCCCATCCCTTTTCTTCATCCCCGGGGACTTGTTTGGGAAAGCAGTTCAGCCCAGGAAAGGGGAGTCATGCCTGCCGCTAGGAGAGGCCAGGAGAGGGCATGGGTGGGCCCTGGGGACCTTTCTCCTTCTTCCTGCCTTCGCTCGGGGCCTGCCGTGTTGGCCGGCCACTCTCCTCCCCACTGAGACTTCGGAACATTGACTTTCCTTCCTGTCCCGTTCAGCTGCTGAAGGGTTTGGAGAGGAAAAACCTGGGATGAGCTCATGAGTCCCTCTGTGCCTCAGTTCCCTCTTTTGTACCATGTGAAGAATCAGAGCAGCTTGCATACAGGGCGACCGAACGTGTGGAATGAGTGGCTATCGGTAGAGCTTTCGGGGCAGGAGCGGTCAGCTCTCCTGGGTGCTGGAGAAGGGTGGGTCAGTCCCCACCCCACCTTCAGGAGCAGACAGCTCTCCTGGGTGCTGGAGAAGGGTGGGTCAGTCCCCACCCCACCTTCAGGCCACATTTCCAATACCTTTCCTTCTGCAGAGGGTCTGCCAGCGCAGGTGAGGAACTCACAGTTTTCCTCTAACACAGTGGTTCTCAACCTTGGTCACACATTAGAATCACCTGGGAATCTTTTTAAAATCCTGATTTCTGGGCCTCCTCCTCCGGAAATTCTGTTTCTTTGTGATGGGGCGGGGCAACAACATGAGTCACAAAGAAACAGAATTTCCGGAGGATGAGGCCCAGAAGTCAGGATTTTAAAAAGATTCCCAGGTGATTCTAATGTGCAGCCACGGTTGCGAACCACTGGGCTAACAGGTTCTACCAGCTGGCTTGGGACCCCGATCTCTAAACTGGTGGGTCTTTTGACCGGGCTCAGCTGTCCTGCGTACAGATGGTCTCCAGGGCACTCGGCATCCGACAGAGCTCTCTCGTGAGTGATGGGCTTTATTCCTTCAACAAACTTATCCAGGGCCTAACACCTGCTGCCTGTGTCCGTGTCCGTGTGTGTGTGTGTGTGTGTGTGTGTGTGTGTGTGGTGTGCGCACACACGCGCAGGCACACCCATGACTACTGAGGCAAGGATGTAGCCTCCTCATCTCAAAGGTGCTTATAGTTTTTAACAAGAGCACAAATAACCTAAATGTCTAACCAAGAGCCTGAGAAGAGACGAGTCAATGGGACCCTGGGTCTGGGCCGAATTTGAGAGAATCAAGCCGTAAGGACGCAGCATGGAACACTAGTACCTGTGTAGTTTTTATTGGAGAGACTTATCTTGCAGAAATGTGTACTAGAGGGAAAGTGGTTTTCATTTTTTTTAAAAAAAATCTTATCCCTTAACATTGAAAAGTACTTAAATATATCACACCTTAAGGGCACAGACAGAGGGAGGCTGGCTGTGTTGAACAAAAACAGGACGGTCTGTGAAGCTGGGGGAAAAATCAAAGGCGCAACCAATCACAAGGAGGCCTACTTTATGGCGGCGACCGGACAACAGCAGACAACCTGGCCGCTTTAAAACGAGCCCGGATGTAGAGGTTCTGGTTTGAGGACGCAGGCTTTGTGGAGAGGCAGCGGGAAGATAAACCCTCGTGACGGGATAGGTTTAGAGCTTTTTGGAGAAGTTAGAGCGCAGGATGGAAGGAGGAAGTCGGTCCACGTGTGGAAGGGGAGAAAGTAGCCCAGCAGCACCCCAGGGGGGCCTTGACCCTGCCCTGCCCCGGCCGGAAGCTCTGCAGGAGAGGCTGAGAGAGCTACTGCGCTGTCCCTGTGGCTGTGGCAGGTCAGAGCCCGCAGGCCCAGGTGCTGCGGGGGGAGGCGGGGGCTCCTGCAGTGCAATCCCCACTCAGTGCGCTGCCGATAATGCCATGTTTTCCTCTCTGCGAGATGGAGGACCTGGAGCTCGTCGTCTCGCATGGCTTGTCTCTCTGGAATCTTACCAATCTGTCAGGGATGACAGTTGTTCCTAATTCCCCTGCACATCGTGTTGCCACAGTCAGCACCTGGGCCGGACCCAGGAAGGGCCGGAACCTGCTTGACAGCTCAGGTGCTCGTGCCCATAAGGAAGCTGATGGACACGGGGCTCCTATAAAGATGAGAGGCTGCAAGGCACAGCCATCCGTGCAACCAGCCAGCATTCAGGTTCCCTCCCTTGTTCCAGACACTGCCCCAGGCCCTGGGAACGCAGGACAGGAGCAGACAGGGGCTGCCCAAAGGAGCCAGGGGTCCAAGGGGAGGTGCCCCTGGGCCTGTGCTGGGCCTCTGGCCACACGTGTGGAGGCAGGGCCCGCACCAGCTCCGGGGGCTCAGAGCTGCGTCTTTCTGAGCCGGACAAGGCGTGGAGGAGCCGTCCCCTGACGGATGGGCACAGGGCGGCCTTTAAAACAAGCCAAGCAGAGGCCCTCCTTTTAGGGAGCCCCTGGCCCATCCGGCTGAGTCAGCCACGTCCTTCTGAACAGAAATGCTCAGGAGGGAGGAAATGGTGAGGCTCCGGGCTGGGAGGGAGTCCCTCAGCGGGGCCTTCCTCTCCGAGGGGCACCCCAATGTTTCCATTTGGGAGGAAAAGACTCAGGCAGTAAGGGCCTAGGACGACGCGCGTCTGGAGTGATCTCAGGCTTTTTCCATCACGCCTGATGGGGCACAAGGAGAGATTTGTTCCTTTTATTTATTTATTTCCCATTTTAAAGGATTTTCCTTTCTCCCTCCCACCCCGTCTCCCGGCCACTCCGATTTGGGTTTTCCATCTGACTCATAATTCCTTCTGGAAGTCGAGTGGAATTCATAAAAGTGGGGGTGGGGGGGCGGGGAGCCC